TTCGATATTCCTTAGCAAACAGATCAATCCTGCCTATGTGCTATTGAGTTTTTACCTAAGTACTACATTTTTTTCTTTAGAGTGACTATAATTAGTAGAGAATCGCTTCAGTGTCCACATATTTATATTTAGGGAGTTGGGTTTTGTGTGCTGTTGTATTCTGTGATTAACTCAGTTATTAGTTCAAATGATTTTGTTGTTGTTGCTGTTTTCATTGTTTCTGAGATTTCCTGTGAAATCATGTAATTTGTAAATAGAGACAATTTTACTTCCCCCACACCCTTCTGAACATTTTTTGTTGTTGTTGAAGAGACTTTTTCTTTTTTAAAAATCCTTTCTCTTCTTTTTCTTTAATAGTGACAAGGACACCCATTGCTTTCTTAACTAAGGGTAGAAAGAATGAATATTTTACCCTCATTCCTAATCTCAAGGGGAGATCATTGTTTCTAGTATTATGGAAGCTATTAGATATAGGGTTTGTTTTGCTTGTTTGTTTTTTGTTTTTTGGTCTTTTAAGACAGGGTTTCTCTGTGTAGCCTTGGCTGTCCTGGAACTTGCTTTGTAGACCAGGCTGGACTCAAATTCATAGAGATCCTCCTGCCTCTGCCTCCCAAATGCTGGGATTAAAGACATGCGCTACCACCTCCTGGCTAGTTTTGTTTTTTTAAACAAACACGGTTTATCAAATTGAGACATCTAGTTTACTTACAATGTTTTGAAGCCATTCAATTGGATAATGCTAGTGATTTCTCTGCATCAGTTGACATAATCACAATATTTCCTTCCTTGCATACCTGGAATAAATGTCATGTGGCCACGGTGTATAAATATTTTGATACCATGTTACAGTGTTTTTGTTTTTGTTTTGTTTGTTAATATATTATTTGGACTTTTCTATCCAAGTTTATAAGAAAGAATTTTGGGGGTCTGGTTTTTGTATCTGAGTATTATTAACCTCACAAAATGCATGGAAATGGTTGCTCCTGTGTTTCTCGAAGATTGTAGAAAGAAGTCTTACATTTAAAAACATGTTCACAGCTGGGCATGATGGTACACAACTTTAATTGGAAGCAGAGGCAAATAAATCTTCTCAGAGTTCAAGGCCAGCCTGGTCTATGAAACAGAAGACTCGGTCTCAAAAACAAAACAAGCAAACAAAAAACCCACTCTCAAAAGAATAAAAATCATGTTAACAGCTAATTTCAATTATTTTTAAATGCTCTGTGAGTCAATATAGGTGCCTGCTGGTTGGGGTTAGCTCAGGTCAGCCTCCTTGAACTTGCCCCTTACAGGAACATTCCATCATGAGCTTGAGTGGAGGAGGGCATGGCCATCAGTTGAGAGCCCTTGAGGGGCACTAGACATACTTTGGCCCTTATTCCTCCTCATACACAGGCTTGCTTCCCTTCTCTGAGGTTTTACAGATCTGTATAAACTCCAAGCTCCCCATAGGCCCTGCTACTAGGTACAAACAGGATGGAGCAGTAGTAGTTTTTACCCAGGGGTCATATTGTCTTCTCAGGAAAGGGTCATGTGGCAATATCCAGCAATAGTTTTGGTTGTCACCACAGTGATAAAAGGTGCTATCAGTCTGTAGTTGGAGAAGTCAGAATTCTGCAAAATATTCTACAGTCTCCAAAACAATAATCTAACACATCATCAACCATGAGGAATGTCCCTAGACTGGAGGAACACTTGCTTTGACTACTTTAACACACCCCTAGGGATGATGAGCAAACCTGCTGGGACAAATCACCTCGGCCAAGGCAACTTATAGAAGAAAGGGTTTATTTGAGACTTATGGTTTCAGTTAGAGTCTATCACCATAATGATGAGGATCATGGCGTCAGATAGGCAGGCAAGCACTGGAGCAGTAGCTGAGAGCTCACACACACGCACGCACGCACGCACGCACGCACACACACACACACACACACACACACACACACACACACAGAGAGAGAGAGAGAGAGAGAGAGAGAGA